CCCCCCCCCCCCCCCCCCCCCGCTCCGCACTCAGCTTTTCCCTGGGCTCCTTCCTGGTGTGGAGGAAAGCGGCCCCTCCCCCGCCCTGTGTCTGGAGCTCCCTGCTGCAGGTGCTTCCAGCCCACACGGGGCTGTCGGGAGCAGGCACAGGCAGCCCCAGGTGGGCTGTGAGCGGCTGCAGCATGGGGCGCTGGGCATGGGGCGGGCAAGGGGCCGCTTCCTGCCCCCCCCTGCACTCAGTACCACCTTGTAATCTGGCCCCACAGCCAGCCTGGGCCCCGCACTGGCTCCAGGCTCGCCCATTGGGGCTGTGTGCGGCGGCAGCAGCTGCTGCCCCCCCCACATTTGCCGCACTGGGCAGTGTTTGCCTCTGCCACCTGTGGGCTGCCCAGCATGCGAGCTCCAGGCAGGCAGCAGTAGCCAACACTGCCTGGTGCAGCAAGCAGGGAGGGCCACAGCTGCTGCCATTGACGGGCAAGCCTGGAGCCGATGCATGGCTCAGGCTGGCTGTGGGGCTGGGTTACAAGCTGGTGGTGAGCACAGGAAAAATCAGCCCTTGCTCAGCCCATGGCTGGCGCCCTGCACTGTAGCTGCTTGCAGCCCATGTGGGACTGCCTGTGCCTGCTTCACACAGTGCTGTGTGGGCTGCGAGCACCTGCAGCAGGGAGCGCCAGCCATGGGGTGGGTGAGGGGTTGCTTTTCCTTGCGCTCAGCACCAGCTTCTTTCCTGCCAGCGAGCAGGGGGTCAGAGCTGTGCGTTGTTCCCCACCTATACCATAGGGCTAGGGGACACTGGGTGTGAGCGGGTGGGGAGCCAGTGGAAGCACAGGAGCCACGGGGGCCGCACCGGTGTCCCGGGACCACTGCCAATGGGGCCCAGAGTAAGGTGGCAGAAGTGCGGGGTCCCCTCTGGCAGAGGCTCCATGGAGCTGGGCCAGCTCCCTCCTTTCCCTGCTGGTGCAGCCCAGCCTGGTTCCACAGACCTCTGCCAGCCTGCGCCCCACTTTGGGCCCTACTGGTGCTGGCCCTGGGACATTGGTCCCAAGATGGTGACCAGGGGGTGGGCACCTGTCAAGGGGTGGGGCTACCCATGCAGCCCTCAACAGCCTGCCAAAACTGGGTAAGTGGCCCTCCACCCAAAATAATTGCCCGCCCCTGTTCTAGCAGAACCTGGAAGGAAAATTTTCCCTCCCTTCTCATTCAACTTTTGTGGTTATACAAACAGGCCCATTTCTGCCTTATTCCTCACCCCCCACCACTTCCCTCCATGCTTAGGGCAGAGAAGCAGCTACGTCAGCACACTGTGTTTTGTGTTGTAGGAAGCATCACTTACAGAGCTCTTCTCTGTCAAAGGTTTGTCCACTTCCTCCAAACAGCCCCTTGAGAAAGCCTCTGTTCTGGGCTTCTGGTGTTTCCACTGGGGTAAACAAATCCCCAAGCATATCCTGGCCAAAGGCAGACAAGAAAATGGGTTAGGAGCAAGCAAGTTTAGAATCATTATTTACTTTAAAGATGGAGTCACTGATGTGGGCTAGCTGGTGAACACAAAGTTACATTAATCCTGCAGCACCTTGCATTGCAAACCCGGAGCAGCACCTTGCATTGCAAAACTGGAGCCAACACCTGAATGGCAATAGTCAGCTGGTGAAAAAATAAGCCAGCTTTCCTACTATGTCGAACAGAGCAGGTCAAGCTGGTCAGGGTTACAGCCAAGGGAATAGTGGAGGGAGAAAAGAACGGCGGGCCACAGCCTGCCACTGCAAAGGATGTTGGCTTGTCTGCGCCCATTCCCTTTCTGTGTGTGTGTTTTAGTGGAGAGCAAGTTCTGCAATCAATCCATGGAGGAAGAAACACTGCGGATGAGCTCACGCGGCTACCTGCAAGCAGGAGAGGAAGCTGTGTTACTGTGCAAAGCTTGGCTGTGAGTGATGTGTTTTGCCCCCATCATGTGCCAGCCAATGAGCTCCTGGCTGCTCTGTTTTCCTCATTGCTGTGAGCTTCTGCTCAGTGCTGCTAGTGCTTAGGAAGAGGGCTCAGGACAGGCCATGAGTTTCCACCTTGGAGCTCAGGTTTAGATGCGGCTCATGTATGTACCTGCTTCTCAGCCAGCTGCTGGCTTACTTTTCACGTGGTGCCCACTCTGTGCATTCGCAAGCAGGCCAGAAGCCTGGACCTGGGTGCCGTTGGGTCCCTATACCTCTACAAGTCAGGTTTTCTTTAGACACCCATTCAGGGGGTCCTCTCCCTGGTCAGTGAAGCCCAGTGCAGGGACTGAGTGGAGCAGCCATGCCCCATGAGGTTCCCTGGGATGGAGCTGTGATCTCCCCCTCCCCTGTGCTCTCCCCCTCCTCCTGACTTCCCTTGTTCCTGTTCTAGGAAGAAAGTAAATGGCTGCACCCATTCTCTGCAGGGAAATCATTTCCCTCCTGCTGCAGGGCAGGTAGTGTTGGGTGGGGAAGAAGTGCTGGGTGGCCCCCTCTCCCTCTGTACAAGCCAAGACATATGTAGCCCTCAGGGGCAGTGCAGGGAGCCTCCACTGCTCACATGGCCACATGCCCTTCCTTGCCCGCTGCTAGCCCTTTGGAGATATGGTCAATCAATCATCCTGGCACCAAGCACTGCCCATGCGCCCTTTCTGCCTACTGCTTGTCAGTGCAAGCGTGCCTGAAACCTCAGTCCTGAGAGTGACAGAGCTCCACAGCCATTCCCACAGCCCCAGACACGCTGCTCCCCAAGGCCCAAGGGCTGGCAGCTCCCTCTTGTTCAGTTTGTAGCCCTGCTTGCTGTTAATCATACAGCTGAGCCCCTATTTTCCAGTTCTGCAGCTCATGCTTCTTTCCAAATAGCCCCACGCTACTCTCCTGGTTCAACAAATGACATTTTAATTTGCATTTTGATTGTAAAACTCTAACAGGGTGAAGCCTTTTTGCTTGGCATAAATGACTTTAATTAGACCATCTTCATAGCTGATGCATTTTAATGTGCAGTGCAATGGGAGGAACTTTCCTCACCTGGGAATCAGGGCAAAGCCAGCTCCTGTGGAAGCAGCTAGTGCAAATCGTTCACAACTTGGTCTAACCCAGTAGTGCAGACAGTCTGGGGACTTTAGCAGGTTGAAATCTGGTCTGGCCTGGCTGCCCCTTCAGTCAATTTGCTGAGACAGCTCAGCTGAGATAGTGGGGCTGTACTTACTGTTAGATTAAAAGAAGCAACACTAAAACCTGGACCATGCGTGGATCTTATGGACTCCCTACATGGTGGGGAGGGTCCCACCACTGAGGGGGCCTCCTTGGTCCCCGTCCACTTGTGCCCACATGCACGCTCCACACCTGGAAACACAGCAGTGGGCGCACACAGGCAGGTGCTCACACATGGTGCCAGAGCCCACCTCCACTCTGGTGCAGACAAGTCCCATATCTACCAATAAAGACAGACACTTCCCAGTGCCAACCACTGGTCATTTTTCAATCCCCCACATAATCTTAAAACAAGTCCTCAGAGCCGGGGTTTGGAGTATACCACCTTGACACAGCAGACAGAACAGGAGGCACCAGAGGTTGCCATGTCCAATGAACTTCCAACTTCTAGCCAATAGCAGGGGGCAGGAGCTACAAGTGGACAATTTAACTGGGGAGACTGAGGACTGAAAACTTCACAGCCACCAAGGGGTGAGTCCTCTAGGGCCAGAAGTGAATGATAGAGAAAAATGGTCTTTCACTGGAGCTTCACACTAAATTATTCTGCCACCCCAGGAAACTGGTGCTCTTTTCTTTGGAAGTGTTGGCACAAATGGCCACTTTTTTGCACACGTGACACTGCCACTGGTACAGCAGGACAATCAGACTTTCTTGATGATAGCTGGAGTGTAAGATTCCAACGCGAAAATAAAAGTATATCTGGTTTATGAGACCTGTTTGAAGAAGGGTGCAGTTACACAAGGTTTTAAACTGGAGAGCAGGGTATCTACAGATGACATCATGAAAACGATGCAAGTGGTGAGCTCAAAGCACTGCTGGCACAGAGCTGCTGGCTGCAGATGAAGGGGGCTGAGTCATGTGCAGCACTCCTCTGTGGGAAGAGCCCTCCAGCATGAGGCCACTAGCCCTCTAAAGACCTTTCCACGTTACCTTAGAGCTAAGCTGCACTCTGGCTAGCTACATGTCTGGGGCCTACCTGTAAGTTGTCACACATCTCCTGGCTGTAGGTTAGCCGCTGGATCTCTGTGGGGGAGCTGAGATACAAAGCTTGCCCTTCGTTGGTGAAACAAAATGTCCGTGCTATCCTCATATCCGTTACAGGCAAGTAGTTGACATCCAGCATAGGGCGAAGACTGGGCAGGCTGAAGAGGAGCAGATGGTTAGGTGGAATTTGCATTAAGAGACTTGATTTTACTGCACACGTTGCAAACCCACAGGTGGCTTTGTGTTTTCCAGGAACCACGTTTTGTAACTTAGTAATGTGATGTAACTTAGCAACCCACCCAACTTGGTGGTTAACTGCAGTAAATCCTAAGCAGCTGAAGCTAGCTGGGCTAATGGACATTATCCAGCAAGCAGGAGCTGGTACTTCTGTGATACACTCTCACTGTCAAATGCAATCTAGGCACTAGATGGTGAGATGGCTTTCTAACCCAGAGATCTTCTGTACTAGAGCAAAACTCCTAGAGCAAAACTCCTATGGCTTTCTTTGAAATGTGTGCATACTAAAAACATCCAGGTTTGCTCTACACAGGGAAATTACTGCCCCCTGAACTAGGCTGTGGATTACAGCACAGAAGTGGTATAGGACTAGTCCCCCCCCCCGGGTGGACACTCCTAATGTGTAGCTAGAGTGCCTTTGGGCCAAGTCGCCTGCTCCAGCTTCAAAGAGGAGCAATCTGTCTCCCACAAACAGATTGGGCTGACGTGCCCATGTGGAGAGTCACTCCAGAGTAGCCAGAGACCTGCAACTTCACACAAGGTTATTGTGCGATATCCACCCCTGGAAACATGCTCCCTGCCCTGGATCAGCCTGCTGGCACCACGGTGCTGCTGCTCACCCCACAGCATCTGACACCACTGCCTTTACCTGTTTTGCTACCCAACGGGATTAGGGAAATACCTCAGTGTCATGATATGCCCATTGGCGCAGAAGCAAGCCAGGCAGACGCTGTTACAGAGGGTCACCACGTCTGCTCGCAGCAGAAAGGACGTTTCTGTGATGTTATGAATATAAAGGCATGTCTGGGAAGGCAGTGAGAAGACTTTGGCTTGTTTCTCTGAGCAGACGACTGCAAACTGGTGCTCGCCCATGTCTTGGGAGGCGGAAGGGGAGTGCATGACAAGTTTCCTTTTTCTTGTTTTCTCATTGTCATCTGTGCTGTTTGGGTCTCTCCACACTTCATATGGCGGGTGGATCAGCGCTCCCATGCAGTCCAAGCATGCAAAGGTCAGCACTGCTCCCTTCAGCGTCAGAACCGTACCTGTAAAACAAGGTGCTCTCCTATGGGCACATGAGCTTCCACAGCCAGTTGTCAGCACTGCCCTTGCATATGCAGGAGCATCCAGGCTTTCCTTTTTGGCACGTCACAGAACGGTGCAACTCACTCTTCCCATTTTCCTGGCTGCTGCCCTTTAAGACTGCTGAATCCATTTCCTGGGTGTTCAGCCCCCTCCAAGACCTCCTATTACCAGTGTCTGTAGCTCTTTCCCTGTAACTTATTCCTTCCTGCCCCCAATCAGTCTGCTGTTCTGTGGACTCTCTCCTGTTCCTTAGTAGCTTTCTGGTGATGAAACCCCTAAACTGATCACAGTACTCTAGATCAGTGGTCTCCAAAGTGGGGTGCGCAAGACGATCCATTGGGGTGCGGGAAGAAAATATTAGAACTTCTATTTCTATAAATATACATAGGTTGGGGGTGCATGCTCAAAATTTTTTTACTGATGGGGTGTGCAAATATAAATATACATATATTGGGGGTGCGTACTCAAAATTTTTTTACCGATATGGGTGCATGATCAAAAAAGTTTGGAGACCACTGCTCTAGATGTGGGCACAGGACTACAACATCTCTGCTCGGTGGCCAGATATGTCCATGCATGCAGCCTGCATTTACATTAGCTTTTTTTCTGGACACCTCCTCCTTAAACTCATGGTCAATCTGCTCCTACTGGCAACTGTAGGGTTTTCCATGTTCCAAGTGTCCCCTCTCATACAGTGTCTGCTTCCAAGCAACCAAATTTCTTGCTTTTTTGCCTCATTTCTGCTCTCTCATGCCCCCACCCTGCCCTTGCCTGTGCCTCCTCCCAATTCAATATCCATTGTGAGCATCAGTATTCTTGCAATACTAAGATTCCTAACCATGTATGAAACTCAGGCCTGCCTCATTTCTCAAACTCCTTGGTACAAAACGTTAGCTTTTTCAGTCCTACCACTGAGACTGCCCTAAGAGGGAGTTATGTCCTAGCGAGGCAGTAAAGGATTAGCAGTCAGGAGCTCTTAAGTTAGGGCTTTATTTCTGGCTCTCTCTCTAATACTGAAAAAGTCATTTATCTTCTGAACCTCTGCTGGCCCCTCTACAAAACAGGGAGCAGCTCCTTACATCACAGAGGGCTTTGAGTACTGATTCATGTTGGCAAAGAACTTGACGTTTTAAAATTGATGTCTGTCAGACGTTATTAACAAAACTAAAGACACCTTCTTCTAGAGATTACAGATATTTTGCTTACTATCTGTCTTAGTTTGACTTTTGCCAAACTCAGTAGCATCCCAAAGGTACTGTCTTCCTAGTGGGTAAAGTATCTGTTTTTGCAACCTGAAAAAAATTCTTCCAGTTTCCAGGTCCTTGCAGGGGATGCATGGAATTTTACACAAGCTCTGTTCTTCAGAACTGACACTACAGGCTGCCGTATCTCTGTACAGTGCAGCCAGCATTGCTGTGAGCAACTCTTTGTACCCTTCCGGCTGCACCCTCTCAGTGTAATGAACTATCATGGGTAAATATATTCACGAGAGCAGGGCTTTCAGCCACATGCCCTCCCTTGCTAACAAGACAAAGAACAGGAAAACAAGGACTCTTACCACTTGGAGACACCATGACTGGCTCTGTCAGCCTTAAATCATCATTAGGTGGCAGATTGAGGGAGAGGATTAAGACCATACCAAGGCCTGTTCCAACCCAGAGACAGGGGGAGAGAGCAGAGTCATTCTTCCGGGCAAAGGACTCCATGAAGTACAAAGATGTGATCGTTTCCTTTGACTCCTTGTCGATGCTGGAGACACTTGAGCTTCGGGAACGGCTGAAGGAGTTTTCCCGGTTTTCTGTTTAGACAGGGCAAATACAACAAGGCAGATATGAGCTGGCAGGACCAGAGTGTGCGCACATATGTGAGCATGTATTTGCACAGAAAATGCAAATGCCTGAGAACAGGGATTATTTGGCTTGCTGCAAACTGGGTGAATATTTTGATGCTTGGTATTAATTTCTTGGTAGTGCAGAAATAGCAGTGTAAAGATGCGGTGGAACCTCTCCAGCTGCATGTCAGAAATAGCTGCTTATTACAGATATTTGCATAAACTAATTGGAATTTGCTCCAGTCTTGGCTCAAAGGACCTCTTTTAAGCTGCATGAAACAATTCCAGACCCACATGTTACCAATCCATGTAAAATTAAGCCATATATCTTGTCTTTATGGGGCAGGAAGGAAGGGCTCAGTGCCAGCACTGCTGTCTTGTGGCCTATGTCTCACACAGGGGTACTACTTACACTGAGTTTAAAGCAACCCTCCTTTGCTTGTGATAGCAGCAGCAGCTGCTCTCGGAGAAGATATTTTCTTGCCTTTCACCTGACCTTGGTTTTACATATTGTGTAGGAGCAGGAACATCTCTTACTGCAAATCAATCCCACCTTCCTACTCAGTGGAGTGAAGTAATCATCACTCAGTTCCTGAGCCGAGTTAAGACAACAGTACAGGATTGAAGGCTTCGTACTAGGTTGAAGGCAACGGTGACTGTCAATTAGAGATAGACACATACTGTCCCCTCTCCAAACTCATGCTTACAGGGTAAGACCCCAAGGACCTTTTTCTCCTAGTCCTGTCCCCTACACTACAGCCACAGAGAAAAGCCCATCTCCATCCTCTCTATAATCACCCTTCAGGTATTTGGAGACTTATCAAATCCCACCTCAGTCTTCTCTTCTCCAGGCTAAATAACCCATGCTCTTTCAACCTTTCTTCATAATTCTCACCTCCCAGGACCCCAATCATTTTTGTTGCCCTGTGCTGGACTCTTTTTAAACTGTCCACTTTTTCTTGAAGTGGGGGGCTCAAAACCGGACACTCCAGGTGACGTTTCACCACTGCTGAATAGAGTGGAAGAATCACTTTCCTTGATTTGCAAATGATGCTCCTGTTAATATAACCTAGGATGCTGCTGGCTTTCTTTGGTAACCAAAGCACACTGTTGGCTCATATTCAGCCTATGGTCCACTGTAACCCCCAAGTCCTCCTCAGCAGCACTGCAACTAAGCCAGTCGTTCCCCAATCTATATGTGTGCACACGGTTATTCTGTTCCAAATGCAGGATTTTTCACAGTCCTTGGTGAATCCAGTCTAGTGGCTTGTGGACCATTTTTCCAGTCTATCCAGGTCATTCTGGAGCCTATCCCTGCCCTCTGGAGTGTCTGCAGTTCCACCAACTTGGTGTCATCCACAGACCTTCTAAGTATGCACTCTGCCAGCTGTTGGTTGAAGAGGTGTCCCAGTCCCAGACAGGCAGAGAACTTGAGAATGCCAAACACCACCTTCCTTATACCGCAAAATGTATTTAAATATAGTCCCCTTTAACAGGTAGCACTAATGACAGGATAGGGTAAAATTCCAATATAACAGTATTCAGGCTGCAAAAGACACAGGAAGGACAAATACGTCTGTGCAACCTGTGTAGGTGACTTACAGAGCACTTAAAATATATGATGTGCCATTTGCATGTGTCACAGGGTTTTTTCCTTTCTTTAAATAAGAAGAAATGTTCTTGCTCTCGTGCAGTACAATTAACTAATACCTTTTAGCAGAACTGACATTAATGGGTATAATCTTGGGGACACTTTTGGGAACATGCCATGCTATTTTTCTTAAATACACTGCTCAGATTGAATATCAAAAGATCAGCATGACACATCACTCAAACTTTGGTGTCACTGAACATTTCTGAACAGAAAAACCTAACTTGGGAAAGGTCACAATCACTGTGTGAGGTTCTCAGGCTGCTCTAAAACAAAGCAAAAAAACTCTCCCCCTTCCTGGAGTTTATTAACTGTATTATAAAATTCATTATAGGCCTCTCCCAGGGGGGACGGGACCCTCCTCAGAGACCATGCCCTGAGTCCTCTCCCTAGACACCCTTTTGTTTTTTGTCCAAGAGTGGTATAAAAGCACCTTCCTCAGTGGGTCAGCAAAAGCCATCACAGGTTTCTCCAGCCAGACTGATACCTGCTAACAGGGAGGACTGGGACAGGCAAATGCCGCCAGCTTCCCCCTTGTGCTATGCAAAGGGCACACTCTCTGATTTCCTTTCTGCATAACCTAACTCTCAAACTTCTGGAGTGATGGGAGGTCCTGACATCTGCAACACGTTTTTCTCCCTAGTCATGAACCAATATCAGGGTTTCTCATGGATACACCCTGGAACTCAAGATAGACTGAATATCATTCCCTGCCCCCTCCCCCTTGTTTTACACAGGCTAGGCCCACTTACATGGATAGGCCTGGTGTCTCTGTGGACACCGGAGATCTACATGGACTCTGAAATCTCAAGGGGAAATCAAGCTATACTATGCCCCCTGCACCACAGCCTGGGTGTACCTCCAGTCCTTTGGGTGGGCTCCCATTTTCCCTTCTATTTTACAGATTCTTTTCCTACTGGGAGATCCAGAGCCTTGGCCTCAGTGGGCGTATATCTCTCTATCCCCATAGACAACAAGGGACAAGGGTTTTGTACATGCTGGAGTTCCTCAGTGGCTACAAAAGTCTGGAGGCTTCTCCCCAATTTCTGCAACTGAATTTTCTTTCACAATCTGCTTTCTCAAGAAAACACATAATAGCAGGGGCTGCAAATTCCCCCAACCAGCTGCCTGAGTCTCTGTATTCATTCCCTGCCTTGTGGTCCCTGAGTCTCTTCAGTTCTCTCCCCAAGAACTGCTCCATGAACTTGTCCTATAGATCTAACACTGAGGTCTCTCCAGCAGTTAGACACGCAAACACTCTGAAATGTTCACCCCAGCACGCAGACAGCAGCAGTAGCCGTTGACGCCTCCAAAGGCCTTGGAGTCATCATTCCCTTCGTGAACAAAGAAGAACTAATCTGCACTGGCAGCCCAGGTGAGTGACTGAGTTATCAAACCTGTGGGGCATCAGCTCCCAGTATTGTGGCTCCTGTTCCTTTTGGTCTCCTTCACAAATTTACCCCCCAAACTAGCAGCAGCTGTAGTGTGGCCACAGTTCGGTCAGCTGTCACTTCTCTTGTGTCACCCAGTCCAAGATTGCTTCCATTTTTGCCCTTATGCACCTCTCTCGAGGTGCTGTTGGCTGGCAGCACTAAGAGGAGGAGCTATCCTCAGAATGTCTCCTCCAGGGAAATCTACCTGCTCTTCCTTCTCGTTTCCACTGATGTTAATAGAGCTCCAGGTCTTTCCTGGACACCTGGAAAAGCAGCTAGAAACATGGGAGGAGTAGCAATGATGACAAGCCAAATCATTTGGACCTCCCAACAGGTGCTTCCTGTACTACAGTTTGCGAAGTGCTGGTGTCATTGGACCACAGGCACCTGAGAGCTAAGGTTTGCTTACCTGATACATAACTAGTGCATAGCAACATGTACCATGTACAACTGCTCTACATACAGTACACTAGTATTAAATTATGAGAATCAGCAAAATAACTAGTAAGTCCATCAGAATGGCACTGCCCACTTCAGGAAAGACCCCAGTTCTCTTTCCCGCCTAGTGCAGTGGGGCTGGACCCAATGATCTTATGAGGTCCCTTCCAGCCCCTAACATCTATGAATCTATAAATAACTGCATTCATTCCCTTAGTGTTTCCTCAGCATGAACCATCTTATCTTTCAGAGCATTAAGCTAACTGCTATTTTACATTCCAGCTGTAAACAGGAGTTAGTTTATGGAAAAATGTTGCTAATAAATAAAATCAGTACTTTACTTGTGCATGATGTCACCAAAACACGGGACCTCTGTTACCCACCTCACCATGGCAGAAAAAAAAACAGGATACGTCAACTAACATGCTAAAAAGGAAGCCATTTTTTTCAAGTCTTACCTTTGTCCATCCATGAGCAAGCAGTAAAGTGACGCTCGTCGTGTGAGAATGTACTGATTCCATGTAATTGCTGAAGCATTGCCCGTCTGGAAATGTAACCTACTGCCACAAAAACGCATGCATTGCAAAAGGACAAGAACAATTGAGCCAACCATCATCATGACATTTATACGAAAGCAGCCCTGAGCAGTTACAATCCTAGCACTGTTTCCTTGGCTGACACAGTAGTCCTGCTGCAGTGTGCTGGTGACTTTAGAAGGTTTGATTTTGTTTTTTGGAGTGTTCAAAAGATAATTCAAGAATAGCATTTTCTGTCTTTTAGTTCTTTTGAAATAAAATCCAATCTTGCCACCCTTGCTGAACACCCTCTTAGCAAATATTTTTTTCTCTGGGCTTATTGGGAATAACACTGCAGTTTCCTCACTTCCCCATGCAGTTAAAAAAAATGAGAATGGTAATGAAAATGAACGTGGGTGCTTTTGATTTATGCATAAGGGGAATATTCTCCTTTCTCTATACACATTTACTGATGCAAGGGCTTTGAAAGGGGAATATATCCCTGTATCATCTCCTCAATGGTGGTGTTACTGTGATTATGTCAAAATAACAGAATAAAGACTAACGAGGAAACATAAAATCCTTCATTTTTATGGTCAGAAATTGTGAAAGCAAAAGTATCACTCAGTATGCAGAATGCAAGAAAAATACCAATGACCAAGATGAACATTTTCACTGTATGATATACATTCACTATTAGAGACCTGCAATCTATAGTCAACTACTTACTGTTCATTTGTAGTTTTATAATGTACAGTGTTAAATTAATCAATTTTATATTGATGTATTTAAACTGATCTGTTTATAAATTCTGTCTAAGAATAACATCAATACTGCATACAAACCCAGGAAAACCTGGAAGCAAAGCTAGGCAGTCAAAAATATTTATACTCTGGGTTTGCATATTTCTGTAAGTTCCAAGTCCTAAATCTGTGATATAACAGAAGCCTGTGAAAATATCAAAACACTCTCTTGTCAAAATTTTAATACTGTTTTGTTTTAATGAAGTCCACTATTTCATAAATATCCAAATTACTGATTTAAGCCGGGGCAGATCTCAGATAGTGATTGTAAACAAACATCCATAAAATTAATCTTCAAATATTATTTCAAAGATAGAATCACCACACAGACATAGACAGGGACTGAACCAAATCACTGACGGCAATGCTTCAGCAACACAGAGGAGCAAAAGGATAGGAGCTAACATCACAGGGTATTCAAACAATAAAGAGCAGTACACATATATCTGGCTAAAGAAACGTCTCTAAATGCATTTTACTATTGCCACTCTAAAGCTACATTATGTTTTAAAGCAATGCACTAGAAAGCAGCAGAAGCTGTTTAAAAACAAAAAAGTGCCAATGCAAAACTATTGGGAATTTTAGAGAGCCTGCTGAACTGACTCAGGCACATTACCCTGCTTTGGCCTTTGGACTGCTTTGGTATGAATGTGAACTCGCTCCTAAATCTATTATCCTAGAACCCAATTAAGTGAGATGCCCAGGCCTAACAGGAACAGGCCTCAACATTATTTAATAGTTGCTAAAGATATTTAACACCTTATTCTCTACCACATTGCACCAGTTGAAACTGTTGCATCTCCAATGATTTCAGTGGCTTTATACCGGTGTAAAGCTGGTGTAAAATGACAAAGGTTCCAGCTCTTTAAAAACATACAGACTTAAGCCACAATGGTTTTTTTAAATCTCTATTCTGCTTCCTCTAGAGTGTGGGTAAATTTAGGCCTGGGTTTTTGTTTGGCATATTTTAAAACCATAAAGAGAGACAGTGAAAGCAAAAATGCCATCTGATATGAAGCACAAGATGCAGTTATGCATTTTCATTGCAACAGGCACTTAGTTCTGTAGATGTTAAATACCGGTATCTAATGTCAGGGTCTACTGTATGAGCCACTTGCCTTTACTAATATGATTAAAATGTTTTCACATTCAAAACAGTATGGTCATGATCTGAATTTAGGATTAAGGCACTTTTAGAATTTCAACTGTTGGCACCTAGGGTTTTAATTTGAGATCTTATTTGATTTAAAGAAACAAACTCTGTAGAGCTTAGACCAGAGTCCCAAACTGCTTATCACAACCTAAAATATCAGCTCACACAAAAGCAATTTCTGTTTATGTTATGTTGTTTATATGGCAGGCATATTTTTCTAAGATTTTAGGTGAAGCACTCTAGGGTAGAAGAGTATAAAAGAATGACAGAGGAAAAAGTTAACTCCTCATATAGGGTAGGAGCCAAACCATGTTATTTTGCATTATGAAATGCAGTCTGGAACATTTACAGTGAAACATAAGCTCTGATGGGTTTTTTACTTGCATACTTGTGTGTGTTATACCTATTAGTATGTACAGAAACTATGAAATACTTCATATTTGTAAAACACTTGGAATAGCTTTTGACCTGTAATATTAACGTCAGAAATAGGAATACAGTTCCCCCGCCTGCATGTGTATAACTCCTTGAGATATGCTAACTGGAGCTTCAGAAGCACTAGGGAACATCAACTTGAAAGAAGTTTTAAAATTAACTTGGATATTGGAAAACAATTGGAAGGGATGTCAGGATGTCACTTAATGTAATCCTCTGCTCAAGCAGGCATCATCCCTGTCTAAACCATCCCAGACCTGAGCTTAAGAACTTGGAGTGAGAGTCCAAAACTCTCTAAGCAATTTGTATTGGTCCTTAATCACATGCACAGAAGCTTCTTCCTAATACCAAATGTTCTTAGTTAACAGCCTTCCATTTTTATTTACTTAAGAAATAAGAAAAATGGGAATCTGTATATGAGAAGAACCACACTGAGGAAATAGTCTCAGATCCCTTCCTCTTGTTTACTTAAACTCAAGACAACGGTGGGTTACCAACATTTTAACAAAAGAGTCTTCCTCTTTTGCCTGTGAAAATTCCCATGTACATGCCAAGAGATGCATGTACTTTTACAGAGAAGCAGGAGTGAATGGGAGTAATTTGTTTGTTTTCTAAGTTAAACAAAAAATACTTTTTCATAATAAAAAAACCCAAGGAAGGATGCAATACCACTGGGCAAATTTACACCAGTGCACTTGGCTAGAAATGTTACTACTCTGTTTTGAAACAATTTACTGAGTATGTAGCACAGGGCTCAAGTTGGGTAGTTTATGATGGGGCACAAGGAGCATTAACAGATGGGCAGGCCCCCACTCTAACTCATGGTGTTTTACATAAAGTGCCCTGAGTTAAAGCCCCCCGGCATTTGCCTGTTGGTGCGGGGGAGGATCAAGCCTGCTTACAGGAGCCCAAGGAGCTTGCCTGCAATGGAGGACCCACTCCTTTCCCCCAGCCCCCAACCAAACTTGGTTTTGACTTGCACTGAATAAGGTGGGGCAATCATTTACACATGCAGTTTGAATGGCAGTTAATTTGAATTAGTCTTGATTGTCCCAGGACAAAGCGTTTATTTGGGTAGGTTCTTATGGTGGGACAATGGGCTCAAATATCTGGAGGATCCTGGAATAAAAGCCTTTGTCCTAGGGGAAATTAGTCATCCTTATTTGACCTGAGTTAGCAGTGGCCAGAAATGGAAGGACTCCACCAGACTCTGGGAAATCCCCCTCATCCCAATGGTGAATGGCAGGGATGAGATCAGTGGGAGTAGACAGAACAGCCCCTTCCCAGGGGTGCTTAAGGCCTTCCCCACTTCTTTCTCCTTCTATTGCTGGATACACCTGTGCAAAATAAATGTAAATGCTACCACAATGGACCCGATTCATGAGCTGAACTAAGCTTATGCCGCCTTGGCATCCTGATAGTTTTCCCCACTGAGAAACAAAGACTGTTTCTGTGCCCACTCTCTTTTCCACTTGCTCCAGACCCTACAGTGCTGGAGATGGAGAGCTCAGCTATAGCCAGCACTGATCTTGAAGGCATTGTGTAGATTAGCTGTCCAAGTTCCCGAGTTCAAGGTTTTGATAAACTTCCATTTGATTGGGTGAGCCAGGAAGGAATCTTAAGTAATCCTCAAACACTTGGTTTTGTCTGTGGAGAGAGACAATACTATCAGCATAGGGGAGAATGGGGTCTGTTCAGCCCACGCATCCAGGTACTGAAGGCCAACATTTGCTGTCATCTATCTAGGAAGTTTTCCCTTCTCACAGCTGCTACGTACTTTTACTGATGAAGAAGGATCTGTTCCCTTCTTTAGGAGCCTGCTAGATGTTTTATGAATAGCAGCTATTTTTTTAAATGAAGAGAAAAGAAAAGGTTGAGTCTGTGGGAAAAGATTCAGGTCTAAGCTTTTGTGTGTAACTAGTGCAGAATCAAGGCCATTTGAAAATGCAACAGTCTGAGATGCAGAAAGGCTCCCTATTGCAAAGTTTTTGAGTCTCTCCATGGGGTGGACGGAAGCACTGAGAGCTGATGATCTGGAGCAACAATAAAATTAAAAAGGTGTGATTTTCTCCAGGGCTAAGGAAGAATCTTAGAGGAACAAAAGGCAGACTGGGTTTCAACTCTATCACAAGGAGCCTGAGAAAGGTAAAAGCAAAAGGAAAGACCCTCCAACGAAGGAGGCCTAACAGAGATTCCTGTGGATGCTAAGATACTTAAGCTACTGAACTGTAATTTATCACAGCTAGAACGTAACTTAATGACGGTGATGAATGTAATTAGAATAATTAGCTAAACCTGTTTTGGAGATTTAAAAAAATTGTCACAGAAGCACTGGCACTAACATATATATTCATCAACAAAGAGTTTAATATTTCAGACAATGTAAGCCCATGAAGGTGGGGGAGGAGGGGCTCTTTTTTTTCAAGAAAATAGCCCAGTGTCTTATGCTTCCTAAGTATAGACTATGGAAACAGTTTTATATTTTGATTGAAAAAAAACGTCAAGATTTCTTTGTGATTATAAGTGGCTTCACAAATGGATTTGTAGCCAGAGTCTGGTCAAGGTGGAGATAGACCCTAAGGCTTTGTATGCTATAATACAGAAACCCTGGTCCATGGCAGTATCTAGACTTCTGAAAATGATCACAGAAG